CTTCTCGATTGTGAAGTACTCCTGAGCACAATACCTTGAATGGAACGCGGAATCCCATTTGGCGGTAATACTAGATATTTCTCCTAAGTAAATCTATTGTACGCTATATATGTAACCATGTGAGCGCACTTTCCAGAAATCATTATCTTGAACAGATGGTAAAGGAAAATTTTGGAGCTTTGTGCACAATAGATGTCAATTAAAAGTTTTACATAGGCAATGTTTGAAGGTGAAATTCCATCATATGGTTTTAATGCTGAATCGAAGCTATGTAACCCCGTCCCCCATAATTGAAGACTACCTGGTCATCTACTTTTTCCGGCAAGTCGAGTTCTAAGTGACGATCTTCTACTGTGGTCAAGTTTTGGCGCCTGCTAGTAGTCGAACTGTAACCGTGCACATACCTGAAGAGAGCCACGAGGGGAGAGAAACCACGAAAACTTGACTGTCTCGACAAGCGATATGCACCTGCACGACTTCTTCTGGTTCGACGAAGATCTGCTTGTGAAAAATTTCAGATCGAACCTGAATCATCGCTCTGGGCGGCTCCTATTGTGTCTTTCTTTCTCTTCCCGCTGTGAGAGTCACAACCTTTACAAAAAGGTTATTCAACATATGCGCGAAAATACCTGACTATAGTTGTTTTCAAGTGGGCAAAGCCATTGGGCGAATTAAGATAACATCCTCTGCTTTCAATTATCCATTCAATGTGCAGTTAATCGACACTATTAGTGAACTTCGAAATTATCGCAGCGATGTATTCATTCTCACTGCCAGAAGGAATTCCGAGTTTCAAGCAAGGGATTGTGGTCAGAAGAGCGCTTTACAATCGAGAAGTCGGCATCTTGAATTTGGGCAGTTTGTTAGGAGAACATGCCAACAATAGCCTTTTAAAATGGTAAAATTTTGTACGAGGAACCATGTAATGCTCACTTTGACGTATAGGACTCCCATTGATTCATGAAAGGAAGCAGAATCGAATGTTGAGTCTAACAGACTTTCTACTCTTCTAGTATAGATCTGTTTGGTCTAAAACTTTCACAGGATCCCATAGAATCAACCTGGAGATACTGTTCAATGGGAACTGAAACGGCCTTCATTTAGAACCATTAGAAAACGTTTCGAAAAAGCCATTATCGACATCGAGCGAGAAGTCTGATATATAGAGAGCAAATATAAGATAGAAAGAATACAGATAATTGTGTACCCTACCAGTTCGTTACAACTTACTATTTAGTGTGTATCGTAACTTTATTCGTCATTTACATAAGATTAACATTTTCGTACAGGCTATAATAACAAAGATTTCTTTTCGTTTCTTTGCAATTTAAGTGTTTCGTAATATTTGTGCACCACTTTTAAAATATCACGAGAAAACAGATTTTCTTTTATAGCAAGCGCTTCATAGGAATTCAATGTAGGATGAAGAACCGATGAATTAGGAGAGAGAGCTAGAAGAGAAAGAGAACTGTTCTATCCGAATGATGTGCAGAGACTTTCAGTCCTTGACGTGATCTTGACCGAAGCACTTGTTGATGCTTCCGAAGGAGGATTTGTCTGTCCGTGATCATGGTCGGATCGAACCACGCCAATGCTGAATGACTATTAACTTCACCTCTGTGTTGACGATTTCTTCTTCTTGGAACAATTTGCAGGAAACATGAAGCGATTCTTGAAAATGTCGATCGGTGTTATGTCATTCACGCATCTTAGTGTGGCATCGAGCTCGGCTGCTGTTATCGCATAAAAGCATCAATTCAGCTTAGAAGCACACAATCTCAATTAATGTTCATGTCTTTGTTCAATTCTGCATTACTTTCGGATAGTTGGATGTGACGAAACACGACAACCGGCCACGCGTACCTTAATCAGATGTCATCACGACGTGATCCTAGGCTTCTCTTTCAGCAGATTGCCGTCACAGACAGACGAAACCATTCAACACGCAATAAATCTTCATTATATTGATAAGATGGAGTTGATCTTATCGCTTTTCAACGATTATGTCAGGTCTTTCTCTTTCTCTTCCTCTTCAAGGACGCAGAGATTTTAATGAAATTCAAACACCGAACACCATATTGACAGAAACAATTGAACGTTTTCTTTAGCTTGATTGATTGATTGATGTTCCCCCTTCTCGAAAGAGATCTTTGCTGCTCAATAGTTAACTTCGAACAATTAATCTTTTGAAGAAGTTCTCCATTCAAGTGTCGTTGAACGATTCGAAAAACAGTTCGAACTTCTCGTTCCTCTTATCTGAAATTCTCAACAGAACATCGAGAATCATTCCGACTTTGTGTTCCATCAAATGCTAAGAATTGCCTTTCAATGACCAATCGCACTTTTGAATATCAGAAAACGTGGATCGCCGACGTGGATCGTCGTCGAAGTTGTCCGTGTCGAATTCTGTTCATTCTATATCCCGATTTCCGATCGATTTCTGCTAGAAAACAAGAGACTAGAAAAGTCTAAGAGGGTTCGTGCTAATAGCCACTCCTTGCCGAGATATCCATTTTGTAGTGAATTTTCCCTGTAAAAATTCAGTTGTTCAGTAAAATCAGCGTCTTCGACTTTGAATCTGAAACTTTGCCCACATAATGGCCTCCACTGGGCTGACTTATGTACAACATTTCAGCGTTTTTGGACGTGGTCTATCCGAGATGTGAATTTCTCAAAATATCCATGTTTTAAACAGCATCTATACAAAAGCGCTTATATTTTGAACAGTCATATCTCGGAAAGACTACGTCTAAAACGCTAAAATTTTGTACATAAGTCAACTCAGTTGAGACCATTATGTGGGCAAAGTTTCAGATTCAAATTCGAAGACGATGATTTTACTGAACAACCGGGGTTTTACAGGGAAAATTTTCTTATTCTTCATGACCGGTTTATTCTTCATAGCCGGTTTGTGGACATATGAAAATTTTTCTGAGGTCATTTTTTGAACGAGTAAACTATGAATGGTAACATCTTTAAGTGATTCAAAAGCCGAACTGCCCCAGGTCAATCTTCAAATTCATCATATGTCTGTCATAGTACCGAATAGACCAAGCCAGTCTATATACTACTGGTGCTCATCTTGGGATCTTTTGATGGTGCAGCATTCGCGAAATCTCTTTCTAGATCTCATATACATAGGATACAGAAGAGCCTCAATACTCTACATTCTGAAGTTCAGAACTTGCTGTGATATTTTTGAGTGAATAGTGAATTTTTTAATATTAGATAAAACAGTCTGAAATCAAAATTGTCATAAAACTCACTTTTCGCTAGATTTTTATAATTTTTTCTAAAAACAAATGTCGCTACGAAACTCAGCATGATCGATTATGTATAATTCACCAGTTTTCAAGACTATCAACAGTCACCGGATGGCAGTCCTGGGACTCGTAGGAAATCCGATACAGCGCCTCAACCGCGGAAAATTAAGGTCTCACTTGAAGCTCGTTTTGAAGAAGCGATCTCGGGCTACCCACCCGTAAAAAGAATCAGCACAATCCTATTAGAAAACTTTTACACACAATCTGGTTTTCCAAAAGATTTTCTAGAAAATCTGATTCCAAAACTCTTCTAAAAATTATTTTGTTTGCGAAAACATGGCCCCAAGTCTCTCTTTTCGCATGGCAAAAACCGGAGCTCTCTAGCTAGCTGCTTTCTATCAAAAGTTATTCAAAAACAGTCACGGTTCTTATATTTTGTAATGGATCGTAGATACTAAATTCTCCCAGGTAACGGATAGAATTTAGCACCCATATATCCGATTTTAGTACGCCATATCAGGAATCAACTTTTTGGGTAGCAGGAGTCGAGTGGATGACAGTCAATCTTTACTGCTATATATTCGCTCATTTTATTTGACCTATACAAATAGAAACAAAATCAAAGAAATATTCTACAAACTTCCTCATTAGAACATGACTTTTATGTGAATGACTTCTGTGAATGGCGCCGATGAGAAAATAAAGGGTCTATAAGTCAAGAATTTGCAATTCGTACCATTAAGATACGTGACCGTGACGTATACGTATGTGTCACACCATCCTATGTTTCATCGGAATAACTGTATTATTTTTCTTGAATATGTTCAATTTTCTTTGTACATCTGGGAGACCAATAAGACACATAAAAGGCGCCAGAAGAGTGTTAAGATAAGGTAAATATATAATAAACGTGGAATAAGTATCAGTTAGCCAATCGGGAAACCATAATATTCGTACAAATGGAATAGCCACATAAGGTATCCATGCTACGAGGAATATCAATGAAATGGTCAAAAGTTGCACGGTCATCTTGCGATTTTTGCGCCAAATATTTGCTTGTTTCATTTGTAGTTTTTTGCACAAAATTCGAGAAAGCAATAAAAGATTTGCTAAGAGAACGACTACTACTGGTCCAAATACGTTAAAAACTAGGTCAAATGTGGCTATAATAACAAGAAGCCATGTTTTAGAGACGTACGGCGGTGACAACAGGAGGGATGTCAGAGATCCTACAAATTCGGAAAATTTCCATAGAATTCTACGTTACTACGCATGAAATGTTGGAGCATTCTACCTACACACAATCACCCCACGCATTACAACAAAAACTCAGACGTCTGCTCTATTTGCTGTGTAAAATTCCCAAGAAATTTACGTACATTTCATAAAGAAAAAAGAAAATTTGCCTGAAATGCAGGAATTCTGCCGTTGCTGAATAACAGACATAAAGAGTTAAGCTAAAAACATTTATGACCAAACCGCTCAAAGCGTTGTCTTATACAAGATACATTTTTGTATCGATGGTGACAACTACTAATCTGATATTGGTTTTTTCTCATAGTCGGACCAGGTGATTTACTGAAATTCTGATCTACACAAACTCGCCTCCAGATCGAACTAGATAGTAACTAAACTCCGTGAAGCCAGTTGTAAAGATCGTTTGCATGATATACGACAGAGAAACAAACCTTCCAGTAGAGTTCGACTTTACGAAAGGAACATGTGCTCAACAACAGACTATCGAGTGGCCTCACTCAAAAATCGAAAACGTTCACTAGTAAAACCTGAAAAGAAGAAGACAGAATAAGTGTACAGACTACCACTCTCATCGCCACCTATTGCTAAACATGTAGCTTCAAGTCGAGCCGAACTATTATAGAAACCTCATGTAAAACAATAAGAAAAAAGAAAGAAAGAAACGTTCCTATGGTGGCTTCGTTTTTCTGGGAACCACAGGACTATTTTTGAAGTTTTCTTCTCTTGATCTTTTCCATGTTTTAAAATCTTCTTTACTCAACATCACCACTAAGTAAAAGCAACGATAGTTTACGTTCAGCTAGGTACGAAGGCGACAAAAGAAACTGGGTTTGTGCCACCGCATTTGAGTGATTTTCATTTTGCATAGAAAGGTTTTGAATGAACTCTTATAATCTTGAGACTCATTCGACCCTTTAGCTTTTTTTGAAATCAGTCTATACCTTCCAGAAATGTTCTGATGCAATATTTTTCTGCATAAAACAGTTTCTTTCGTATTTCAACAAAAGCTGTTAGTTCTCACACGCTAAAGTTATGATATCCACCTATCTGCTATTCAAAACGCTTCACTCAAGAAGATTTCTAGTCGTTTTCCAGAAACACAGCTAGATGAAGATTATCCTCAAAGTTCTAAAATAATATATGCGCGAGAAATAAGAAAAATGTCTAGGTACCTTGTACTACGGACAAGGATTAAGCGAAAATCAAATAGTTGATCTAGGAACCATGTGTCTAGACCATGTGGAACCATGTGCCACAGATATTGATAAGATGAGGGCTCCTTTGTCTTACACTCTTCATATACCATAAGAAATTTTGGGACGTATCTCTCGCTCAGTCAAATTTTTGCTAAAGCATGATTCTCCCAGATCTTTTCTCTCTCTTCCACTCGGTTTACATCAGTCAAGAAAAGTGCTTGTCAGAGTGTATTGCTCATGTTCCCGATGAGTGAACACATATGGAAAAAACAACAACTACATAATACAAAAGGGAAGAGGAGTACATTCATCAAGCAGAATGAAAATAACCAACAGCAACAAAATAAGAAAGAAAAGAAATAAGACTACACCGTCTAAAAATAGTAATGGACGTCATGATAACCGTGTGATTTGGAAAGACGACTAAATTCCCTTCCTCCAACTCATCACCATCAACAGTACCATCCGCAGCCACGTCCATGAATAGAAACAAAAGCAGGGAAAGGGTAGTGTTCAAAAGTGCTAAATTATTAAACGTTATGTGAGCTTTCGAAGCCTGTCGCTTCATCTCCTCAATTGTCTTTTGAACTTTTTGTCCATGTCATTTTCCCAAAATAGAATCTCATTTTAAGTAGCTTACGAAGAAACATATTCAGGTGATACCCTCCCTTCTTCTTATCTCCGCAGCTTTGAGCTGACAATGCATATTTAGGGCTTTTCTTGTAAATTCTATAACTTTGCAAAGAAAGGTGGTATAGAGCTGGAAGATGTCTCATTTTAATCAGAAATGCGCGGACTACAATTATGTCTCAATGGTAAAGGTTTTGATTATTGTTTTTAAAATAAATGTTTTTTATAAAGTTTTTTTAATAAATTATTGTATTCTGAAAAAATAAAGTTTATATCAAAAAAACATATTCTAAAGAATGTGTTTGACAGATATATAATTTCACCAGTCGTTATCGGACAGTTCTCTTTTTTGGTGACATATTTATAAAACAATTTCAGTTACTTTGAAGTAGTACCATCATTAGACGATAAAGACGACGGTAGATAACCTTTCTATACCGTCGAATGATAATTCTACTGGCCTTCCAGTGGCAACTAGTCTGCAATTTTCAATATCGGGCGCTCGTCGCATTAAATTTGGTATCTTGATTATACTCCAAATTCCATCAATAGCTTGTGAACTCGTTTTATTTTATCATTTCATCTACAATCACGGATTAGAAACTCATCACACCAAGATTTGAGATCTTTTTGATCTTCAATATCACATAAAATCAAAACTAATTTTTCGTCGTGAATTGAACTAATATATTTTTTATAATAATCGATTGTATCAAGAAATAGACATTTACCTTCGATATTATCAAATAAAATTTCTGTTTCTTTAACATTTTTTGTATAAATAGCGACGATTGAATGGTCAAAATAACGTTGATTATCAATATAATTTGATGACAGTGCTAAATTTAAAATATAATGTTGATGGATCAATTTCATTAAATTCGTTCATTTTCTCCTTTATCGGCTATCAATAGAGTTTAATATGATGAGAAGCAGTACAATTTGTTCAACAATCGATGACTCGATTTGTTCGAATAAAAATAGTTGTTCCCTTGACTGTAAGGACGGAGTCTAAAACCGAAACAATGCTTGTATACAGTCGGTAAAAAATTACTCAAACACTCATTTGATATAACTTTTTATCGCTGGAACAAAAAGTGGGATTGAGATGGGATTTTCGCCAATAGACAAATACATTTCTTGGGTATATGTGCAGCAAATATGAGCTCTTAATTTAACTGGCATCCTTGCTTTTTGATGAGGTTTTCGAGACCGGTCAGTTTTTAAAGTAGAAAAATTATTCAAGCACTTTTCTTTCTCTTCTGATTGTAGAGAAACCCGACGCCTCCTAGATGTACTTTACAGCGAGCTCCATCGTAAAAGTGTTAGTTTTCATATAAAAATAATAGAACTTTCAATTTTAAGGCTAAAAAGTTAAATTTTGGCTATTTACCTAAAAATTATGAAAAAATCAAAATTTTTATTGAAAACCAAACTGAAATTGAACTTCAAATATACCAGAAGAAAGAGCGTGAAAAACTCGACAAGTTAGCAGTCGGTTGGGCTGAGCATGACCAACAAAAATCGGTAATTTGAATCGCATTTTCAAATCTTTTTCAAATTCACTATCATGTTTTGGAAAACGCGATAGCTTGAAAAATACGTAGTGTCCTATGTAACTCTCACAGCCAAATTCTTTTGAACTAGTGGAACGTAAAGACAAGACAGTTTCCTACAAAGTGCGCAGTTTCTGAGTACAGGACGATATGCTGTCAAGAACTTACAGATCTTTGCTTTTTTGACTTATCTTTGTCTAGATACATTTTTTCTTTATTGTACGGCATATGACAGCCGAGAGAAAAGAAAAGGAATAAAAAATGTTACGCTTCATAGGATTTCGTATCACTGTTCCTTTTTTTAAAACGATTATTCAGTCCGTTGAATATATAAATCATAACGACAGTTTTGCTTCAAGGAGACTTACCGTCAAGAAATGGCTAGTTTTATGAAGTCTTTATAATTTAGTGTGTGCTTAATAAAAACGGTTCAAATGTGCGAACCGTGTGTTCCACTACGTAGATTTATGTTTGAAAAATTGACTTTCTTTTGCCTCCTAGCAGGAACCACTCGAGAATGTTACGACCAGAATGTTAACAAACACAGATAAGACATACGTCGCACCATTCACTTCACATGGTTTTTCTGTAGTAGGTAGCCTAAGTGCAGTCGTGAATGGGCGACTAGTAGTGAAATAAGTGAAACTTTACTTGTTCGTTTTAAGTATTTTAAGAAGTGAGATCATAAATTCATTTTTACTGGAATTTAGGCAGTTTTGTCCAACGAGGTGTCAG